AACTTTGAAAAACATTTTTTATAGCCACATATTCTGTTTTATAAATAACTCTCCAGGGCATGGAACAGAACCTGCCTTTTTAATCTGAGGAACTTTCATGGTGGGGTTCTTCCTGCTTTTCATCGAAAGTTACATGATATATTTAATCTGGTTTTAGTATTTAAATGTGCTTACTGAGTCCTCTGCTTATTGGCTAAGTTTTTTAAACTTAGGTGACCATTATAGCCACAAATTCTAATTTTTTTGTGTGCCTTTATATTTCTGCTATCTTTTTTGTATTTTAGAAGTTTTATTGACAATTTAAATCAAGTTACATCTCTTTTATTGTGCTAGATTCAACAAAAACATTGCATTGAAACTGTTGAGAATTTATGTTCTAGTCCATATTTGGACATATTTATGTCACCATAAAAAAGCAACACCTTTCCATACTAATTTGTCATTGATCCATGCCTTTCCTGCTCTAAAAAGACTGTTACTTGATTTGGAGAGGAAATTGAAGAACTGGTAGGCTAGAAGAACTTCAGATGTAAGAGAGCAAAGGTAAGGCCACATGTGTCTGTGGCTCATAGAGGGCATAGAAAATTGAGGTTTTCATCGTTAAGTTTTGTTTTCAAGTAAGTATGATAGCCTTCCTGAAAGGTGGCTTGCAGTATGGCAACCCTAACTTGGGTCATCCACCATCATGGGTATCAGTAAAGAGGAATGATTCACAAAGTCAGCTGTGATAATCAAGAATAGTTTTGGAATTCTTGTGACTCAAGCCACATACTAACGGTACTATGATTAGGACATTCTTTTTGGTCAGAGTTGTGTAACTCACAGATGGAATTCTGTTTCTGCAGTGTAGGAGCCTAGGACTGCAGTTAGTGATGACTGTTCTCTGGCCAGGGCACATGTAGGCATGGACTTGTGTGAATCACATGTATTTTTGTCATCTGAGCAAGAAAAGAGGAATCTTTTCAAATACCTGTAGATTTGATACCTTATGTATCTATAGCTTCTAGTATTTCTATTATGTCTCCTCCTCATTTGTCATAATCCTATAGCACTTTCTGCTATTTATTTATTTTTATTTATTTATTATTATTTTTTTTGACAAGCAGAGTGGACAGTGAGAGATAGAGAGAAAGGTCTTCATTTACCATTGGTTCACCCTCCAACGGCCGTTGCGCCCGGTGCACTGCCCTGATCCGAAGCCAAGAGCCAGGTGCTTCTCCAGGTCTCCCATGCGGGTGCATGGCCCAAGCACTTGGGCCATCCTCCACTGCACTCCTGAGCCACAGCAGAGAGATGGACTGGAAGAGGGGCATCTGGGACAGAATCTGGCGCCCCGACCGGGACTAGAACCCTGTGTGCTGGCACCACAGGCAGAGGATTAGCCTATTGAGCTGCGGTGCCGGCCACTTTCTGCTATTTATAAAACTTCCCATAGGGGTGGTGAAGATTTTTTTTAAGATTTATTTTTATTTATTTGAAAGGCAGAGTTAGAGAGGAGGAGAAAGAGAGAGAGAGAGAGAGAGAGAGAGAGAGAGAGAGATCTTCTATCTGCTATTTATTCCTCAGATGGCTGTAACAGCCAGGGCTGGGACAGGCCACAGCCAGGAGCCCAGAGCTTCTACCAGGTCTTCCACATGGATGTAGGTGTCGCTCCCCGTCTTTGTGGAGGAACGACACAGGACCCTGCGTTGTTCTTTCGTCTGCTCGGCCCTCCCTGGGTTTGCTGCTGGTTCTTCCCGGGTTGGCTACCGTCCCTTCCACCTCCGTGGAAGGGCGGTTCCCCCTAGCCACTTTCCCCACTTCCGCAGGGGAGCGGCACACCGCCGACCGGCTCTCTCGGGGGCTGCACAGGTGTTCCTCTTAGATGTTCCTGGTGCATGCCGTCTCTCTCCTCCTTTATAGTCCTCTTCCACCAATCCCAACTCTGCTACCCACACGCCGAGTACGCTGCTCTCCTCCAATCAGGAGCAGGTCCTGCTGTTTATTGGTTGAACTGGAGGCAGCTGTGCGGAAGCTGTTTACTTCTCTCCCAGCGCCATATTGTGGGAGAGCAGATGCATAGAATAAGTCTTAATTCCAGTAACTTAGTCTAGTCCGAGTTGCTCCCCACAGTAGGGGTCCAGAGACTTGGACCATCTTTCTCTGCTTTCCCAGGTGCATTAGCAGGGAGCTGGATCAGAACTGGAGCAGCCAGGTCTTGAACTAGCCCCTATGTGGAATGCTAGTGTAGTAGAGGCTTGACCCACTATGCCACAATGCCAGCTCCAGGAGTGAGTGCTTAACCTAGAAGTTAAGACACCTGATTCTTACATCAGAGTACTTGGGTTTGATTCCATGCCCAGTTTCTGACTCTAGCTTCCTGCTAATGTGCACCCTGAGAGGCAGTTGTGATAGCTCAAGTAATTGGTTTTCTGCTATTTTCCTCAGTGATTATATCGTGTTCCTGTCTCTTAGCATCGGCCCCAGCACAGCCCCATCTATTGTGGCCATTTAGGTACTAAACCATATATGAAAGTTCACTCTCTTCCCAAATAAATAAATAAAATTTCCATAATATGCCTTGTTTTATAGGTATTTCTTTTTATTTTATTTTAGATTTATCTTATTTATTTGAAAGAGTTACAAAGAGAGAGAGATCTATCATAAACCAGCTCACTCCCCAAATGACTGCAGTGGCCAGGCCGAAGCCAGAAGCCAAGAACCTCATCTGGATATCCCACACGCTTATAGGAACCCAAGGATTTGGGCTATCTTCTACCTTCCCAGTGCATTGGAAGGGAGCTGGATTGGGAGTGAAGCAGCCAGAACTCAACTCGGTGCCCAAATAGGATGCCTGTGTTGCAGGTGGCAGCTTAACCTGTCATGCCATAGCCCCTATAGGCGTTTATGGGTCTTTGAGGGCCTCTGAGGAGCATTTTTCCTCTGCATTTAACAAGTGCCATTCATCTCAGATGAAATCAGCATGGACTCAGTCTTTGTAGGCACATCCAGTGAATTATCATGACTGACGGTGAATTGGTGAGACTGGATTGCCTCCATTCAAGAGTTTTGAAGGAACTTGAGGATGAAATTGCAGAATTCCTGGCTCAGACGTTTGGCCTTTTATAAATAGCTACTGATTTCAAAGCTTGGTGGGTTGCCAGTGCAAAGCATGGTGCATTGGAAAGGAAGTGGCCTGGTGATCTGAGCTTTCTCGAGTGCATCTGTAACCTGACAAGGCACTGCCACTCAGCACTGCAGAACCTCAGGGCCTTCAACAGAATGTGTTTTGCTGCAAAGTCTGTGATAATTGTCAGCGTCATAGTTAAATCTCATTAAACTGGGTTCTTTGTACACATAAAGGAAAGATTTACTTAAATCACACCATTACCTCACTAATTCTTTGCTTCTATGAATGATATGACATAGAGATTGGATTCTGTTATATTCTTCCCAGAGGTATTGATTTTACTGTTTATTTGTTTGCTTTAGCAGACAACTACTGATCCCAAACTACAAACTCTGTGGTATGAGCAGCAACTAGAATCTTGGTTCAGATGGTTAATCCATTAGCCCGGCTGCTGGAGCTTGCCGTGCATTTTCAGGCTTGGGGGATAGCAGAGATTTGGGCCAAGGTGATACACAAAATATGAGTCTCTTTTTCATTTCCAAGATTTCTCCTCTCCGTTTCAGCTGTTGAGGTAGCCTTGAGTGTGTCTTGCTTTTTCAACAACTCCATGTTGTTAACCTCAGCCTACAGCCCTAACAACAGCAAGTATACCCAGTATTATTTCCTTTTTCCAGGACTGTCTCCTTGCTTTTGGTCACTTTCCAGTGCTTTGAGAGGGTCATTGTGTTATCTGGGGTGAGGCTGGTGCAGGGGAAACTGCTTAGTGACACCAGGAGTAGATGACCACTGGTTTACTTTCAGTACTTTTCTTACTTTCTCACTCTGAGTTTATTTGTTGAATTTGTTGTGTTACCAAGCTCACAGTTAGGATGCTTTTCTTATACTATTTTGGGAAAAATAAAACAAAAACAAAAAAACCAGAAGAATGGGGATAGGGAAGTAGTCATTTATTTTTTTCTCTAGAGTTTGTTCTGCTGACAATAGTTTGGATGAGTGTCCCTGCATCTCTGTTAGAGGCCTTCAAGAGAAATATTGTCACTTAATTATGAGTATGAACATTTTTGAACCCAGATTCCCTTATAGATAATTAGCTTGGTGAACTGGACAGAACTTGATTGGGCTGCAAGAATTCTGTGTGCATAGGTGGACATTGACTTGGCCAAAATTGCCTGCTGCATGCTTTCTTTCCCACTGTAGTCCTGCTTGGTCTTCTGAGATATTGTGGGGCTTGGGGAGAGTTTGGTATTTGGTAAGAACAGGTCCTTGGCCACCGTGGAAGGTGGAGCAATACCCGACTGTCTTACCACATCAGCAATGATATTCCTCCTGGGGGCTTGACCCAGAAAGCCTAGAAGGAGAGATCCAAAGAGAGTGGTGGCCAGTCGCTGGCTATTTATAATCCCTTCCCTGTACTCAACTTCTGCTTATTTTTAACCACACTCTGAAGGCTGATAGGAGGAGGCATTGAGCTCCCCCTAGAGGGTTTAATGTGCCACAAATAGCAGTTTTCACAAAGCAGTGTTGCCGTTTTCTTTGCCAGTGTCTAAATTAATCTGCAAGATTAAAATGAAGATTTGGTAAATGATCTGGACTGATTTCATATCCTGTTTTGTTGAGAATGAATCTTTGTGGCTAGAAATGGCTGGGAGCCTTTTGGGGACACCAGGCTGTGCGTTTGTGCATACCTCATCACTCAGCACTAAAATAAAAGAGTTCTGTGATGAGAGACTGTTCTTCATAAGCTCTTAACGTTTTCATGTGGTGAGTCAGTCATTTAAGCTGACTGAATGGGTGTGAAGAAAGTTGGTGTGTTGGCATCTGATAGAATGGTTAAGAAATCCAGTGTCACTCAAGCAACTCAGTAATTTTATTTTCTCCTTATATTTTTCAGGGTTTCGAAAAAATGATGAAATGAAAGCTATGGATGTGTTGCCAATTCTGAAGGAAAAAGTTGCATACCTTTCAGGTAAACTTTCTAATCTGCTTTATCTTCCTGCTGCGACACAGTGTCAGAGTTTGACATACTATACCAGCTCCTCTGCCACCACATAGAACATTTCATTAGATTTTACCTGCTTTATTGTTATGGCATTTTCCTGACAAGTTGGTGTCTAGTCATAAGTTAGGTAGATTTGGTGATGAAAATGTGTCACTCATTCAGCATTTAGCTATTTTGCACTAATGAGTTAAGTAAAACAATTGGCTTTTAGAATTCAATCATCTTAAGCAAAGATGGTGAACATATGACCGAATATGATTGTGCCCTGCCTCTTGTCCTGTAGTTCCTGTTGCCTCCTCTCTGGGGAGGGGAAGAAGCCTGCTTACCTTTGAGTAAGCCCCTGCTTAGGGGCTGTCTGGTCCTGGGGTTACCAGAACCCATGCATGAACCATAAAGTCCTAGAGGTAGCAACAAAGCTGAGTCCTTACTTCCTTGTAAAACCCACGCGTGGACCCTGTTCCTTTGCAGCACAGACACAGGTAGCCATGGGCTGTGGGGCACCTACCTACCTACTCCTCCTCTGTGCACAGGCACTTGGGTTTAGGCCTCACTTTCGGCTCCCTCCTTTAGAACTCCCACCCACAAGTGCACAAGCACACACAGCTACTGGTATTAATGACACCTTTTGGGCATGAGTCCACTGATTCCAAAACAAAGGTTTACAGAACTTTCCGCTGTGTTTTAGCAGGAAGTAAATCTATAGATTGCCCCATGCTTTTAGACAGTCTTCCTAGATGTGTTTCCCTTGATAAATTTTTATCTCTCTCAGGCGGGCATAATATTACTGATCTGACGCATCCTCTTGAACACATTTCATCTTAATTTGTAACACTGTTAGCTGCTTTTATATGTTTTATATGTCCTTTGGGCATGGGTTACTGGTATATATTTAGGATGTCGTTTCCTAGGTGTTTTGCTAATCTTGATATGCTTCTTGTCCAGCAGTGTTTCTTGGCCCCTAGCAAATAATATTTGATGAATTTGCAGAAGTAAATCTAATTTGCCACACATTTGGAAGGTAACTAGTATAATAGAAGAGTCTAAGAAGTACATGATAAGAAGAAAGTGCTTTAAATTATTGGAAATGCATGGTAAAGATTAAAAAAATAAATAACCTCCTGCCTTATAACATACTGAGTTGTTTTTTGTTTTAAGATTTATTTATTTGAAAGACAGAGTACAGAGAGGCAGAAGCAGAGAGAGACAGATATTCCATCTGCTGATCCACTCACCAAATGGCCACAATGGCCAGAGCTGGGCCCATCTGAAGCTGGGAGCCTGGAGCCTCCTCCGGGTCTCCCACATGGGTGCAGGGGCACCAAGACTTGGGCCATCTTCTACTGCTTTCCCAGGCCACAGCAGAAAGCTAGATTATAAGTGGAGCAGCCAGAACTCAGAACTGGCACTCACATCAGATGCCAGCACTGTAGGTGTGGCTTTACCCAGTACGCCACAGCTTCAGCCTGATACACTGAGTTTTAAAAGTACATTTATTTGTTGTTTTGTAATCATTTACTCGCAAACTGTGTAATAGGGACTTGTGTCAATATTGTGAACTCCTGATTTCATGGTTTATGATAAATTTAAAGTTAATATCATTAGAAAGCTCTACTTTTACATATTAGAATTTTCTGTAAGGAAGGCTTAAAAAATGCTGATTCCACATGTTTATCAATTTTTAAAAAAAAGATTTATTTATTTATTTGAAAGAGTTACACAGAGAGGAGAGGCAGAGTAAGAGAAAGGGAGAGAGAAAAAGAGAGAGGTCTTCCATCCGCTGATTGACTCCCCAACTGGCCACAATGGCTGGAGCTGTGCTGATCCAAAGCCAGGAGCCAGGAGCTTCTTCTGGGTCTCCCATGCGGGTGCAGGGGTCCAAGGACTTTGGCCATCTTCCACTGCTTTCCCAGGCCATAGCAGAGAGCTGGATCAGAAGTGGAGCAGCCAGTCTTCAACTGGCGCCCATATGGGATGCTGGCATTGCAGGAGCTGTCACAGCGCCGGTCCTGTTTATCAGTTTTTATTTTAATGTTGGGTCTGTGATGAGAGCACCATTCCTTCCATTTCCTCTTGTGTTTCTAAACCTCTTGTTCTATTTCTTAATGTGAGCACTTGTAGAAGAACACATAAAGAGAAGTGAAGGTTAAATTTGCTATTTTTTATTTGTGTCCATTCTTTTATTAGGCAGTAATACAGGCTTTATTAGCAATAATATTTTAATCTGTCACAACTAAAACTCTCTACATCCTAACTAACCAGAGAAATAAAATCAGTCTTTCACAGTTTTTCATACATCTTTTAAAAACCTTAAATTTTGCAGAGTTAATTAGAGTTGGATACCTTTGATGGGAAGGGAAGTTTTTCAGTTGCTGCAAATTAAAATGCAACTGTTTTAAAATACTAGTAATAGTAGTATTCCACCAGCTGTATTGGCCATGTGATGTGAGTAGATGCTGCCACACTTCTGTTCTCTTGCCTCATTTACCACCAGAATTGGCAAGCTGAATTAGCATGAGCTCATTACTGATTATCTTAGGCTTATTGTTGTCTTCATTAGGAATGGAAAAGGAGGGAAAAAACATAAAATTAAGAAGAAATTGATTACATGGGTTTTTTTTGAAAAAAGTTATGAAGAAATTCATTATTTGGTTTTTTTTGAGAGGTAATTTTTAACCTCTGACTCCATTTTTCTTTGTCTTTATTATTAAGATATAATTCACATAACATAGAATCTGCCTTTGCAGAATGTGTTGACTGAGTGGATTTTAGCATATTTACAAGGTTGCACAGCCATCACTCCTAATTCCAGAATGCTTCATTACCTGTCAGAGAACCCCATACCTGCTCCCCCTTCCCCCAGCCCAGGAAACCACTAATGCGCTTTCTGCTCTGACCTCATTTAGAGAACACTGGGGTACCTTTAGAAAGCTCTCCATGGGAATGGCTTGTAGTAATTAAATCTGAGTGGAATAGCAGATCAAAAGATTCGTGATTCTAAGAGATATCTGTTAGGTGAAGATGTCTTAAAAAAACAGAATTGCTTCAATTTAATATTACTAATCCTTTGTTCCACCTCTAGGTATTTTAAAAAGTAATCTTTGCAGTTAAGATAACAACAGACTAATTCTTCCATTTAGTATGCATTGGATGAGGTTAGATGGCACCTCTGACGCCATGATTGAAGCCCGAGGATGCTATGGTTTGAATGTGTCTTCTCCTGTGTGAACCTCTGGGATGGTGGTGAGGATTGGAGCTGTTAAGGGGTGGTTGGGTGATGAGGGCTCTTCTATTGTGAAGGGCATTAAGCTGCTTTAAAGGAGCTTCACACTGCCCTTTCTTCCGTGTGAGAAGGACACTGCATTCTTGTCTTCTCTCTGGAGGATGCAAGCCTCCCTAGGGAATGGAGCCTGCCAGTGCCTTGACCTTGCGCTTCCAGCCTCCAGCACCATGGCAAATACATTATCCAATCTGTGGTATCCTGTTACGGCAGCATGAATGGGCTAAGAGGGTCAGTAATACAAGTGTCCTGAGGTTTGCATTCAATAGCAGTTGTATATAATGTCCACTACTACATGTGGTCCTATGCTACAAAGGTTTGGGTCAGACAGAACTCCAAAACAACCACCAGAATTCAGAACACTGTCATTTTTGGGAAACAGTTTTTGGAGGCACATTTGAGCATGCAGAAGGAAAGAGAGCATTGTGAGGATTTCCTTAGCCCTAGCTCACTTTAGAAGTCTTGGTTCTTCTACCCTCCTGCTTACTCTTCTTTGCTCTGGATAATTTTGAAGTAAATTCCAGATCCTATGCCATTTCTTTTATAAGTATTTGGAATATATCTCAAAAAGATTTAAAAAAAAACTCACAATACCATTAACAGTACCAAGATATTGTGTAGTGGCTCTTTAATATCATAAAAAGCCAGTCAATATTCACATTTCACTACTTAGCTCTCTCTTTTTTTAAAAACAGGTTATCATTGCACTTGATTGAGATGGTTGATAAGTCTCTTTTTTCCCCAAAGAAACCTTTTATTTAATGAATACAAATTTCATAAGTACAACTTTAGGAATATAGTTATTCTTCCCACCATACCCACCCTGTCATCCATACTTCCACCTTTCTTCCTCCCTCCCTCTCCCTTTCCCAGTCCCATTTTCCATTAAGATTCATTTTCAATAACTTTGTGCATAGAAGACCAACTCTATACTAAGCAAAGATTTCAACATTTTACACACATACATACATACCCCACTTATTTGAGAACAAGTTGTACAGTTAACTCTCATAATACTACTCATTAAGGACAGAGGTCCTGCATGGGAAATTAGTGCACAGTGACTCTTGTTAATTTAACAATTAACACTCTTATGTATGATGTCAGTGGTCTTCCAAGGCTCTTGACATGAGCTGCCTAGGCAATGGAAGCCTTTTGAATCCACAAACTCCATCAGTATTTAGACAAGGCCGTAAGCAAAGTGGTAGTTCTCTCTTCCCTTCAGAGAAAAGTACATCCTTCTTTGATGGCCACTTCCTTCCACTGGGGTCTCACTCACAGAGATCTTTCATGTAGGACATTTTTTTTGCTGCAGTGTCTTGGCTTTCCATGCCTGAAATGCGCTCATGGGCTTTTCAGCCAGACCAGGGAGACTTAAAGGATTCTGAGGTCAGAGTGCTACTTAAAGTGATTGTCATTCTGTAAGTCTGCTGTGTGGACTGTTTCCCAGGTTAGAACATTGTCTCCTTTTAAATTCTATATATTATTATTACCAGACGCTTGATCCTATTTATATCATCACTTTAACACTTAATCCTATCTATATATTCACTTTAACACTTAAGATGGCATTTTTACCACCAAGCTTAATGGGATTTAGGGTCCCATGGAAAGTTTTTAATCTGCACACTTAGAAGTAAGTTTGGGGCTGGCGCTGTGGTGTAGCAGGTGAGGCAGCCATCTGCAATAC